AAACATATTGATTTTTCTATTGTTGTTTGTTAGTGTGTATTTCTTTTCTTTGCTTTTTTTGTAGCAAAATGAATACAAATTTCAGAAATAAAGTAGCAAAAAAAACAAATGAACAATAATTGTAGCAAACATTCGATTCGATACATTTGACCATTGTGTGTGTCATAAAATTCCTTGTTTTTTGCTTTCTTCTGATTCAATGTGCGCATGTCAATGAATTGAAAAGGAAGATCAGAATTCATTTTTTTTTTCTTAAAAAAATGGATAACGATTTTTTTTCTTGAACGAACAACAAAAACAAAGATAACACGATTCTTGTGAATGAAGGATAATAACAAGTTGATTAATGTCTGGAACATCAATTTTTGTTTTTTAATTTTCAAAGATAAAAATTGATTGAAATCAATCAATTTCTTTTGGGAAGATTTCCTATTTCAATGACGTCCACTTTATATTTTTTTCAATTATGATTTTTTCGAAATCAAATCATCTGAAAAGCGAAACAAAAATCCTTTTCCACATTGAATAAATTGATGATATCAATAATAATGATGATTATGAATAGAGATGTAGCAAACGATGAAGAAATTCAATTTTTTTTGCACTTTAATTTAGTAAAAAGATTGAGAAAATTTCCGGGGAATTTTTTCTTACTTATTCCTTCTTTTGGTTAGTTTTTGTTTCATCAAATTCGTTCAATGAAATAGCCATATGGCCAGTGTTATCTGTTATGGCTGTTGCAAATTTTTTGGGCTACGATTTGGCTACAATCTAATATTCTTTATTTTTTGTTTATGGATGGACATAATAAAGATGAGTCTTTGAAAAATGGCCCATCTTATCTTGAAGTGAATGTTATTTTCAAATTTCTTTTTCCTCTTTCTATATTTACCAATAATGTTTTTTGAAGGAAAAATTTCTTTCGTTGTCCTGTTGACAAAATATAAAAGGATAAGAAAAATAGCCACAAGTAAAAACGGAGATTTGAATTATTAAAAATTAAGTTTTTCAAGAAAAAATGTTTATTAAAACTGAACAGAATCCATCCAAAGATGTTTCAACAATATGAATTCTGTTTCGAATTGAACCGTGTTGTTTTTTTTCCTTCGATGACAAATTTATTATTTATAACAAATTGTGAATTCAATCAACCCGGAAAATCTTCATTCAAAGCTACAAAATTGCTGTTATTTACTCAACAACAACAGAAAAAATATTGTTGTTCGGAATGTTGTTGTTCGTTTCGTTTAGCCGGATTTAAACGACGAAGAAAATTTCCCCAATGAATTCTAAATCATTTTGGAACAATTGTAGAAAGAATCATAAATCTTTTGGATCACAAAATTGATTGATTTTTTTTGGTTGCTTGAAACGCCATTAATTTGAAATCACCAGAGAAAGAGAAACAATCTTTGATCCAGAAAATTTTGACATTTTTATTCATCCACATATTTGAGCTAAACAAAAATTTTGACAATTAAGATTTCACAATGAAAACAAAAAACCTGATTGATACAAAAAAAATTGACAAATATTTTCTGTTTTAAAATTGTTATCTTGTTTATTTCGATACTTTTTTTTCAGATAAACTTTTCAAAAACATCTCGAAAAAAAATTCCCAGATCCCATCAATATATTTATTCATATGAATGTTATGCAATCGGGTTCAAACTATAAATTCTGATTCAATTTGCAATACCAACTGTTCTTTTTGAATTCGAGAAAAACAAAAACAAAAACTTTATTCCTTTTTTTTCAATGAAAATAAATTCCAGATTCCAGAGTAAGAAATAGAATTCAGTGAAGAAAGAATTAAATGCAAAAGTCGAAGGATTTCCATTCGGGAAAATCCAGGCAAATATTTTTTTTAACACCTCTCTTTTTTTTTGCTACTATTCTTCATCACGATAAGATTACGCAATATGTTGAATGTAATTATCAATAGTGAATGAATATATTAATAAACTGATAAACTTTGAATGGTTTTAATGATAATAATTCCTAACAACAACAACAACGGCAATAATTTTTAATTTCAATTCTGTTTTTTTTGTTGTTGCTGTCTTTTTCATTGACATCTACTTTAAGCTTTCAAATTCCTTCCTAATCAATGTGTATTTGTAGCCAATTCTGTTGTTGTTGTTGTTGTAACCCTGACTAATTAATTCTAATCTTTTTTTTTGTAGCGTTTTTTTGTTGTAATTTTTTATTCCATTCACATATTCTGTATGTGTGTGTGTGTGTGTCTGGGGGGTTTTTATATTAAAAAAAAAGATTTGTAATGAAAAAAAATTTTCAATTTCATCATCATGTTGTTGTTGTTGTTGTCAATATTGTTTTTTGTTGTTGTTGTTGTTCGACTATCAATAAAATAAATGACAAAAACAACAACAACAACAACAAAATATAATCAAACGAATGAAAAAAAATAACGAGGTTCCATGGATACTTTTGAACTGTCCGTTTTTTATTATTGTAGCGTTTCATGAAAACAAAAATGTCGATACCATTTGCTACAATTCTTATCATTTGAAAAATAAATAAAAAAAACATATAAAGCTACAAAGTTTGAATTGAAAATTCTTTTCGTCTATTCGTTCATTGGACCCATTTATCTATTTATGGATTTTATTTGTTATTTGTTATTGTTTGTTCACAATAGAAAAACATCCATTTGCTACAAGATTGTTCAAGATTGTGTCGTTTCGTGTTGTTATTGTATATTGAGATCATCATCATCATTTTAAGTTCAATTTAGTTTCATCTTTAAATCTTTTAAAATGTTTTGGTCCATCAATTTTTCAAATAAAAGAGGGGGGAGGTGGTTGTGGATAGAAGAGGGTAGAAATGTTGTTTTCGCTAATATTTTGATTGGATTTTTTCTTTTTTCTTCTTCTTTCACATCTGATCATTTTTGTTTTGTGTTTCGACAACAACAAACAAAAAACACTGTACAGCATTTAATTATTAAAATAGAGAAAAAAAAACATCATAAATTGAATTGAAATTTTACTAGGATTTTTTTAAAGTAACAAAAAACAACAACAAAATTTTTGCTACAAATAAATTTAGCATCACCAAGAGAGAGAGAGAGAGAGAGAGAGAAAGAGAGAGAGAAAGAAATAAAATAAAAGCTAATCATTTTAATGATAACATTTCCTCATCATTTTTGTTTTGTTTTGTTTCGAGAAACGATCATCATCATTATTGTAAAAAATGATAGTTATTAGTAGCTTTATAGCCCATATAACATACATTTACACATTTTTTTTGGATACAAACAAAACAGGATATTTGATCGGATGTTTTTCGGATTCCGGTAGTAAATATATAATCCTATGATATAATATATAACGATGGATACATTTATATTTTGAAAAAAGGCGATTTTCAAAAACAAAAAAAAAATTGTAGCAAATTTTGTCTATCAAAAATGAATAGAAACATGTAGCATTTTTTTATGTGGAAACAAATGAATCAAATTAAACAACAAAAAAAAAACAAAAAATAAAAAGTTATAATGTAAATCTCTTCTCTCATTGATTTTTGTCTAAATTTTTTTTCAAAAAAAAAAGGAAAAAGGAAATTATAGTGAAAAAATAGATATTTTTCACTTCATTCACCACTACTATGTGGATCATCATTTGTTATAATTGATTATTTGATGGCTGTGATTTTCGCTTCTGGTTCCAATTTTTTTTTCATTTGAAAAACAAAACAGAACAACAAACAAATCAATATTAATAATTAATGTCGATTAGACAACGCTAAATGCAACCGAATTAATGTTTGATGTTTCTTTTCTTTTTCAAAAAAATTGTATATTTTTGATGATTTGAGAGATAAACAATGAATAATGAAACAAAACAAACAAAAAAATGTAGCCATTTTTCCCATTTTGTAGCAATTGAAATGAATAGAATATAAGGGAAAAATAAACAAAAACGCCAACAACAATAATAATGATAATAATCTACAGACAGGTCAAGCGATATACAACAAAAAAAAATGTAGCCAAATGGAATTGTACAAACAAACAAAAATTTTTATTACATTTTTCCAAAATAATGGATACAAATATCAGGATAATGTTATCCCATTTATTATGGATTCGTTTGTTTGGTATTATTATTTGGTTAGTTTTTTGTTTTGTTTTGTTCCATTGAATTTTCAATGAAAATTTTTATTAAATGTAAACAAGAAAAATGACTGAAATCGATTTTGATCAAAAATCGATTTCAGATTTTCATGTTTTTCTGGTAATATCAAAAACGAGACATCCAAATCATGACCCTTAACACCAGAAAAGGAGATAAATTTTGTTTAAATGTTGATGATGATGATGATAATGAGATGAATAAAAAATTCAAGGATGTTGTCGAGGTCAGAACCCAACCCTTTTAAAAAAAAATTCAATGGCTGTAAAGAATTTGTTTTTTTTCACAACACATAAAACCAATTCAAATCATCATGCATGATGCAATGATGAGAAAGTAATAAAAATATCAACCATGCGCAGCAATGGATTTTTTTTTTTTTTTGTTTAAAATTTATTATACATCAATTTGGCTACACTGAATTTTCGCTACAAATTTCATTGATTCTTTCTAATTTTTTTCTAAACAAAGAGAGAGAGAGAGAGAAAAAACTTTTTTTGGCAAATTCATTACGACCATTGAACTATCATTATCTGCAGGGTGAACACTGATGATGATGATGAAAAAAAGTCGTAAATTATTTTTGAATGTGAAAAAAAAGGACGAAGAACATTATTATTTACTACCACGCCATTCGCATATATAACATGTGGACATTACAAACACACACACAGAATGTTCATTTGGTGGCTAGTCAAAAGAAATAAAAAATAAAAAAAAATGGCAGCCAAATTTTTAAAGTTTTTTTTTCTCTAATTTTCCAGGTTAATTGTTCAAATGTCACTGATCTCTTTCTTTTTCTATTTCGAAACTTCATTTTTTTTTTTTTTGATTCAAACTTACTTTTTACCGGTACACTTGAACCATGATTACGACATTTTGAACATTTTGGATGTCTTGATGGATTATCATTTGATTGACTGGAATTTGATGCGCAACTATTTGCATCAATAGCAGCTATTGCTGCTGATGTTGATAATGTTGTTGCTGTTGTTGTTGCAGATGCGGATGCTGTTGTTGTTGTCGATGAATGACCACCACCACCACCACCACTACCAATACGAGTTGATGAACCAAACGATGATACAGAAAATAGATCATCATCATCACTATTATCATTTATTGATGATTGTTGTGATGATGATGTTGAAAATTTAAATATTTTTTGAAATCCAGCCATTGATGATGATGATGATTCAATTGATTGTTGTTGTTGTTGTTGTTGTTGTGGATCACCAACATTATGTATTGATGGTGATCTTGAACGTTTATTATGACCATTATTTAAACCTTGTTGTTGTTGATGTTGCTGATGATGATTAATTGTTGATAATATTGGTGAAGATGGTTGTGATGAATTTCCTGTTACAATTGATGATGCTACTGCAGCTGAACGTAAAACTTGTTCAAATGTTGTTGTTGTTGTTGTTGCTGGTGATGAATGTGCTGGCAATGGTGAATGTAGATTTAAATGTTGATGATGATGATTATTATGTATCATATTTGAATGTGGAATATGTATCGGAAGATGATGTTGATGATGATGATTATTATGAATACTTGATGGTGGTAATGGAGGTGGAGGTGGCGGCGGTAATACACCGGTTAAACCATTAGCTAAATGATGATGATGATGATGATGAGATGCTGCTAATGCAGCTACTGTATGATTTGAATGAATCGGAAGCGATGATGATGATGGCAGCGGTGGTGGCGGTGGTTGATGATGATGGTGATGCGAAAGCGGATGATGTGGAGATGATCCATGATTAAAATGTGATGGATGATGATGATGATTCATATTGATCATTAAAGCAGCAGCGGCTGCTGCTGCAGCTGCTGCAGTTGCCGCTGCCGCTGTAGCAGAATTATCAGTTGTTGGACTATTACTATTACGTCCACTTGTAGTCATTATTGAATTGGCTGGTGAAATTGTTTTTATCGAAGATGATGTTGATGTTGTTGATGATGTTGGTAAATAGAATGCCGATGTTGGTGATTGATGAAACAATGATAATGATGGTGATGATGTTGAAATTGTTCGTGATTGTTGTTTGATAATGTGCGTATTATTATTATTATTTTCAATATAATCAATATTTGGCTTTGTTAATTGAATTGATTCATCCGAATCAATATTCGATAATGATGATGATGATGGTGATGATGGTGATGATGATGATAATGAACAATATTCGTTAATGAATTTTTTCTTTAATTTACAATTTTGTTTCAATTGAATTGATGGTGATGATGAAATTGAATTCAACGATGATGTTTGTATAGAATTTGATTCATTCAATGTTTTTAATTTACCATTTGATGATATAATCGATACAATTGAATGTGTCGAAGGTGATGATGATGATGATGTTGCTACTTTTTCAGATGATTCTTGTACAGTTTCTTTCAAAATAATATCATTATTTTTATCATGTTCATTTTTATCATTATTATTATCATTATTTGTTGAATTAATCATCATTATCATTGCATTATCAATCGATGATGATGATGATTTAGTTGATATTTCAGAAGTTGCGTTTGCAGCAGCTGCTGCTGCTGCGGCGGCTGCGGCTGATGCTGCGGATGCTTGCTGTTTAGCATAGATCATTTCTTTTTTTGGAAATTCTTTTCCATATTTTTCTTTTGCCTATTTTGCTTTTCTCAAGAATTCCCGGATTTTTTATGTTTTTTGGCACTGGTGTAATGATTGGTTAATTTGAATAAGAATTTCTCTATAATGATAGATTCTGTGACAAAAAAGATAAACTTTCTAATACGCTTTGGTTATTCGTAAGTAAAAAAAAACTTTTTGAAAATTTGATTTTCTTCTGTGTTTTATTTTGAATCGAAATACCGATTATTTTGTTAAGAAAAATTTTGTTTGCCTAAAAAATTTGATAAAATTCCTAATTTAGATTTGCCACTTTGAAAGCTAAGGCAAATTGAAAAATTTTTACAATTTTGAATTTGATTCAAAATTTTCAATTAGAAAAAAATCAATCTATTTCCACCGATTTTGTTTTTTTCTTTCGATGATGATGAGTATATGTAGCATTTTCGAAGCAGGATGATTGAATTAACATCTGTGCGAATCTTCGAGTTAATCTTCGATGATGATGATTCGGATAATGCAAAATTCACTACAAACACACAGAAACAATGAAGATTGTTCGGGTATCATTTTCTTATTCAGGTAATAATAATCTGTTGAATCAAAATATTTAAAAAGAAAAATTCAAATTCAATTAGATTTCAATCAAATTAAAGAGGAAGGAGGGAGGGAGAAAAATTAACACTTAAAACAAAACAGACTAACAAACAAACAAACAAAACTCCCTGTTATGGCGACCAGAGTGGTCTCATTATGACAAACTTGTTCGATTCTGGAACTTAGCTTTATTTAATTTAAAAAAATAAAATAAAATAATTTATTTGATATTTAATAATTTATTTAATATTAAAATTTTTCAACATTAAAAATTTTTCAAAAATGATCGAAAAATTGTTGTTTCTTATCGAAAATGCGGATAAATTAGACATTGAGGAAATGATTTTGTTAATAATGCTAATAAAAAGACAACCGATATCTTTGAGGAGGCGGTTATCCATGGTCGTAGCTAGGCCGGATGGAGAATTCCGGACATTATTGAGGGCTAATTCGGATGTAGCAAGCGAAAGATTTTCTGGCTGTTTAAGGATGAAACCACCAGAAGAACCACTGGATACGGAGGAGTGATTTTTTTAAGATTTTTTTCGACAAATGGTCTTAAAATCCAGAAAATCCAGATTGAAAAAAAAGAAAATGAAAATTATTCATTCTCAGATTTACTCAGTGAAAATCAACAATGAATTTGACTTCCTTATCCAAAAACAAACTAATCTTATTAGGATTATCATGAGACCAAAAATAAATAAAATTAATTAAACAAAATTGGAATGTCATAAACAATGAATGATTGTTGTTGTTGATAATATTAAGAGAAAAAGAAAAAAAAACGAATAATTAATGAAAATAAATTTTGCTACTGTAGCCAAAAAATCAAAATGAATTTGCTACTGTATCCAAAAATCAAATCAAACGTTTTTTTTTTTTTGATTTTTGATTTTCTGTTTCCAAAATAACATTGATTAATTTTTGTTGTTGTTGTTTTAGTGCAAATTGAACAAGTTTGTGTGTTTGTTATTTACTTCCTATATTTTTGATATTGTTTGATCCTAAAAACATATTCATTATGGATTTAATTCCGAATACAAATCAAATAACTTTAGATCAACACACACGTCCATAGAAATTGGATGTTAATCTGATTAATTCCTACAAATAACGATTGAACGATAGAAAGTAACAACAAAACAACAACAACAACAAAAACAACAAGAATAAGGAATTGATTAATTTAATAAAGTCAGAAAAAAGCAAAAATCAAGAATCAATGAATTTTCTGATCTTAGATCAAGTGCTCTGAAAGAATCCATACTTCACACGCACACATTCATTACATCAATCCAATCCACCCACACACCATCACTCCAGTTTTCTGCAATAAAGATTTCTATTTCATTTTTGTTTGTTGCAATGAAAAACAAAAAACAAAATAAATAACAAATTATGGCTATGCAATCATCATCATCATCATTCATTGATGATTGTCAAATGATTCTTTGTTCCGTTCAAATGAATTTTTTTTTTGTTTGTTGTCACTTTTATTTGAATGGCCCTTCGATAAAAAAATGTAGCCAAAAGAAAAATGTAGCCAGAAAAAAATGAAAATGAAATTCTATAATAGCTATATTTGCGTGAATAATAATAATCGAAAAAAATCATATCAGTGTTAACAGAATTTTTGTTTTTGTTTTATGCCAGAAGAAGAAACAAACCACATGTATCAATGGTTGTGTCATTAATGATTACAAACATGATTCCTAAAGAATGTTGTTCTGCTACATTCTATTATTTTGATGATTCTGATTTTTCAATTCCGTTTTTCATGTTTTGATTATTAAATATATCGAAAAAAACAAGAAGAAAAACAATAATGCAGGATGCTAATGAATTGATGATAAGTTTTTTGTTTTCGGTTTTTCAACCAGAAAAATTCTGTTGTTGTTGTTGTTCATGTTTGGTTTCAAATCGATAACAAATTGAATGGTTGAATATTGATACTTGACATTCGTTGTTGTTGTTGTTGTTTGTAACAAAATCATTTGTAGCCAAAATAAAAAAAATCCGAATAATTTGATATGTGCCTGGAATAAAACTAAAACTAAACATCCATGGAAAAGAATTCTTTCCATTCTCCAAAGGATTCTGTTTTTTTAACCCCCACCATCATCACCATATGATTTGTATATTGCTATCGAAGCGATTCTTCAACCAAAAAAACAAAAAACAAAGACACATCTGTGCTGCCCGAATAATGTTTTATATGTTTAAATCCAGACTGTTTTTTTTACGATTTGAAATTCTAAAGCAGAAAAAAAATCTTTTTTTTTGTGATATTCTGTTTCAATCCTGTTTAAATTCTGTAAATATCGAACAGAATGTCTCAGATTTATCAACAATTTAGGCTGCTGAACAATCGATGATTGAATTATCATCATCAGCAGCTATTTTTTTGGATTTGTTGTGTTGTGTTGAATGTGTGAAAACCAGTAAAAAAAAGAGGAAAATCTTTCAATTTAATTTTGGATGTCAAAATTTTGATGAAAAAAGTGTCACACACAAACATGCTGTTGACAGATTTTCATCATTTTCAATTTGAATTTCTTAATCAATTTTTTTGGTAAACTGGAAACTAAAGAACTTGTAACCAAATATTCAAGAAAATCGATACAATGTTGTTTTGGCTTTTAAAAAAGGATACATTTTCTTCATCTTTCTCTCTCTCTTTCTCTCCAAATGAATATAAGGCTGGTTTATTCATGGGTCTCTCAGTATGTGTGTGTTTGGTTGCGGAATTCAATTTTATCTAAAGAAAGACCAACCAGACAAAATGAAAATTGAAACGATGGTTATTATGGTTATCAACACACACACACACACAACAATAATCATCATTATCATTAATAATAATAATAATTTAAGACCAAAGAAAAATTGTTAAGAAACTGATAATAATGATGATGATACAATGTTTATGAAAAGTCAATATCGATTTTGTTGCTGATGATAACTTTATTAATAACAATTTTTAATGAAATTAAAACAAAAACAAAATAACAGAATCATAATGCTACTTTATACTGCTGTTCAATCTTCTACACTGAAAAAACTATAGTTTCATAATGATAATTTTGTTTCGTCCATTTTTTTTTGGCATTTATAACTTTATCAATATCGATTAAATAGACTTGATCATTATTATCAGTGATCAGGATGATAATGATAATGATCAGAAAAGTCATATTAGATCACAACAAGAAACAAGACACACAAAGGCTATATGAGAAATGTATCCAAAAAAATGATAATGATAATAAGAATCCACCAGGGGGGAGAAGAAAAAAAAGTAAAAGTATGAGATAGTGAACTAAGAAAAAAACTTTCTGAACAGAAGCAAACAACAACAACACAGTGATGATCAACGACTGATGATCTATTGATAGAAAAAAAAACATTATGTAATCAAGTAAAAAAAAGCAAAAAACAAAAAGAAAATTATCATTATTACTAACAATATTTATGACAATGTGAATGTGTGTGATCATAATATTGATAGGGCTAAACTTATTCTTTCTTTTGTTTGTTTGTTTGCAATTTTTTTCTTCGTGAAAACAACAAAAACAACAGCAAAACGAATGTATCGAAATTGGTCAATCATTGGTTCAGCATTTTATTTTTTCCCCCTTTCTGATACAATTTTTTTACTTTGAACATTCAAGGATTATGGTGCTTTTGAGAAAATTTTTTCAAAAAATCTTTAACAATTTATTTAAATTATTCCCCATTCGATTATTTTATTTTATTTTATTTTTTGCTATCCATAATGATGATGATGAAATGTACAATGATTTTATTTTCCGAACGAAATGTTTGTGTGGGTGGATGGACT